GTTGTTAAGGATATTTATGTAATTGCAAATGTAGTTTCAAAATCTTAATAAAGCACTAGCGTGACTGCTTAAGTTTTTTAAAAAAAAAAAAAAAAAAAAAAAAAATTGTATTTTATTAGTTCTATTCAAATTATGAGTTAGAATTTTTTAAACCTAATTTAAGATTTAAAGTTATAAGTGTTTAAAGCTACTATGTTTTCAAAATTTTGACATTTAATAAAAAAATTTGATTTAATTTTTTTTTATGTCCAATCAGAATTAGTTATAACGTATTTTGATTGGCTAAAAAGTGACTTGGAGCAATTTTCTGATATCGAGAGCTACAAGTAGCCATTAGTAAAGCGTTTCAAGATTGTTTTATGTTACCGTTACATTTGATCTTATGAATTAATTGGTCAGTTAGTTAAAAACGCCGTCAATGACCAAAAAATACAAAGATTGTCTTAAATTTAGTTTTTTAATCCAATCAATGTAGGAATTGGGCTGAGTTCAATTTTGTTTTTTTGTCTATTCTGCAGCTTTGTTACTTTTCTAAAGGCCGGCAAGGCTAAATAAAACCGAAAGGCCGAGAGACCAGAAAACAAGTTTATAGAATCTTTTATAGTAAATTATTTATGAAAGTCCGACTGTACAACATGATTTTTATAACATCACGTGATTAGTTTACCAAACTAACGTACGTACATAAAGCCAATTTACCATCACGTGTAGAGTATGTGTATTAAATTTGTACAATACCCTAACATTCTTTTTACAAAAAAAAAAACCGTCCAAGATGTCGAATGAAGCCTCAGCATTGCCAGCTGACCCAAGCGTACAACAACAACCACAGCAACCACAGCAATCCAAAGAAGATCAAGGGCCTGCTATTCGTATAGTTCCACATATTGACGGTCCCCGCTCTCTGCATTTTGACATCATCGAACGAGAAGTTCCTGAAGGTGTGTTGATAAAAATTGGTCGTTTTACGGACAAAACTCAAGCACCAAATAGGGTCACATTTAAGAGTAAAGTTGTGTCCAGAGGTCATGCAGAAATTTGGACTGAAAGCGGCAAGGTGTTTAGCTTTTTTTTTTTTTTTTTCGAAACTCAAACTTTCTATGGTATCTTGGAAAGATTTTTCTCGAAAGCTTTTTAGCCAAGGCTTAAATATGATACTACGAATTGCTTTTTTTGTGACAGAAGGATATTAATTTTGCATTTGAATCATTTAAGCGAATTTAACAATGCGTTTCTTTGAAAATAATGTTTATTTATTTATTTTTTTATTATTGCAAAGTTTTACATCCGAGACACGAAATCATCCTCTGGTACTTTTCTAAACCATGTTCGGTTATCTCCCCCGAGCTCTGAAAGCAAACCTTTTGAATTAAACGATGGAGATGTTGTTCAGCTTGGAGTCGATTATCAAGGTGGAACAGAAGGTAAATGACAGATATAATTATGAATGTTTAATACTGTTAACCTATATGAAGTTATTTTGTCATTAGAAATCTATCGTTGTGTGAAGATGCGTATAGAGTTAAACCGTTCATGGCAAAGACAAGCCAATCCATTCAGGTAAGAGAATATCAAAAAATGTTGTGGCTAACTAGGACCAATATATAAGCTATAGGGGCCAGGCTCAAAATCATGCACTTATGAAGCTAGGATATTTAGGGATACTGTTTAAAGGAATTGTACAACAAAGTCAAGGGTATTTAGTTAGAATATTAGAACGCTAAATATTAAAATATTACCATGCCGAAATCTATACTTAAAATCACGTGATTTATTTCGACTTGTGATAATGTAGCTTTATAATTCAAAACTAGTGAGTAAAGGTCGGTATAAACTACGTGATTGTGTAGTATAGATTTCGCTTTAATGAGGACGTGCTCCAAAGACATACGCCTCGTGTCATGTGTCTAAATAGAGAATTTAGTAGTAAGCTTATAAGTCATTTAAGAATCTATTACGAAAGGCTAAATTCCTTTAAAGGATTATGCACTTAATATTTCGATTAAATATTTTTAACTGTATTAACTTTTATTTTCTTTTATGCACGCATTTATACTTTATTTATATATTTAGCATCAATGCATTGAAACAGTTCAAACAACTGATGAGTCCCGAGGCATTAAGACAGCAAACTACAGATTGTTGCATTTGCTTATGCGGAATTGGTCCTTGTCAGGCATTATTCTTTGCACCTTGTTCCCATATTTTTCACTACAAGTGCATAAGACCACTTTTAGTAAACCATCACCCAGGATTTTTATGCCCACTTTGTCGTAGTTTTGCAGACCTTGAGGCACCAATAGATAACCCCATTGATTGGGAACAATTACTTGCTGAACATGAAGAGGTAGCGAAGAAAGAAAATGAAGAACCCGAAATAAACGCAAATAAGGATCAGGTAGTAGAACAATCAGAACAATTAGATCATGAAAACGAGATCCCAAATGCAGGGCCGTCTTCGTCACTGTCAAATATCCCACCGCCAAATACAACAGACTCACCACAATCTCAGGTGAACGCGAATGAAATTGACGAACGACTTAATTCGCTCAGCCTCGCAACTACATCAGCTTTAACGTCGAAAAAAACATTTGCAGTGCCTATACCAAGAAATGGGAAAATATCAAATTCTTCAGATGACGGGGATGATCAAAACTTAACACTTAGTCGCACGTTACCATCAAGTCCACCGAACTTACAAGTTTATATTGACGAAAATCAACATCAATCACTTCGAGAACAAGGTGGCGCGCAAAGGTTAGGTGAGATTGTTGAAGAAGATGAAGGTTCAGTGGGTTCATCGAGTCCTGGTAAAAGTCAAAATCCTACAACACCACTTCAAGAATCAAGTTGTTCTTCAGTTAGTATAAGTGGCGACGATGATGCTATGGTTAGGGATGGTAAAGTTGGTTTAGGTTTGGTTTAGATTCTAAAACCTTTATATTTCAAATTAAAACATAAGAATTAGGTTTTTATATAATAAGTTCGAAAGGTAGGGTGCGTGGCGGCCACAGGACACTTCTTACGATCTACATTTAAATAGAAAATTGAGAAATGCATCATTTCATGGGTTTTATCGATAATACAGCATCTATTTTATAGCAATGTTAAATAGTTTTTGAGTGTATAATTAGATTGTTTCTGGTTTAGCTTTTGTTTATACTTTTTTTCCATCTTTTATTTCTACTTTTACGTGGTACTTAAAGCGGATAAAAAATGTGTACTTTTAATAAAATCATTTTACTACTTTATTTACAAGTAAGTATAAATTATGCAACAAAAAAAAAGCTCGCTAAATTGATGTGATATTTTCTTTTTGGCAGTTTTTTTTTTCAGTTTGAATATTGGATTAAGCCACAATTTATTCTGTTTGATTTTTCTTTAGCATATTTTAAGATAACCACATTTTTGACAAAATAAGTTTATTCGAGAGTATTAGCAAATAAATAATATTACAAAATTTTTTAAAGATGTTATTTTGGTTCTGAGGGCTGAACATTTCTATATTATTTATTTATGCCCGGATATATACACAAAGGAAGTAATGAAATTGAAATCCTATTACCAAGAGGGTCACGCCAAATTGATTCTTTAACATAATATAAAATAACTCAAAAAATACAAATGAACATATAGTAATTCTATTGGTTGTATATAAATATATTAGCCAATACTGCAATTTGATAGATTAGTATAGTATGGAATTAAATTGATCTGGTCTACAATAGTTAGTTTATATTTAATTAATTGATCATTTAACATTAATCATTTAACATTAATTAATTGATTATTTAATAGATTAAATATTACGCTAGAAAAATATTTTATTTTATAAAATATAGTTATTTTAAATTTATCGTTATCAAAATATAATTACGTATTATATATGAGTGGAAAATCTGTCATCGGGCTTTCAATTATATTCTGTGTTCAAGAGTACCGTCTAGAGAAAATCTATTATCGGGGTTTTTAATTATATTGTATAAATATAATCGATTAAAACCCGATAAGATGGCATTCTAATCTACTATATTAGTTTCAAGATCAAAAACTAGAAATTAATTATATTAGTTTATATAATTAATTAGTTATTACTATTTTTATTAGATTATTTATGTTATATATATTATCTGAATTTTTGTATTTTATTTTATATTATATTTAGTTAATCTACTTTTTTTTTATTTTTTTTTTTTTTTTCTTTTTTTTTTCGGGGGCGCTCATTCCTCAGCTGTGGTTTTTCACAAAGATTTTTAAGGTGCTTCCTCGTTTTTACATTGTTCCTCC